TGGTGGTGGCAGGCTCCGTGGTTGATGGAATGCTTTCTTCACCGAGAGCAGTTGAAGACATGGTGATGCCTCCAGGAGGGGTAGAGGAGGAACTGCCCTGTGTGTATGTTGTCACCGGTGAGCTGGTACCCGCAGCAGCGGTTGAAAAGGTGCTGGAACCCACAGTGGCCCCAGGTGTGGTGGTGGCAGGCCCCATGGTTGATGACAGGCTTTCTTCACTGGCCGCAGTTGAAGAAGTGGAGATGCCTTCAGGAGTGGTACGGGAGAAACTGCCCAGAGTGAACATGGTCACCGGTGAGCTGGTGCCCGCAGCAGCGGTTGAAAAGGTGCTGGACTCCGCAGTGGCCCCAGGTGTGGTGGTGGCAGGCTCCGTGGTTGATGGCATGCCTTCTTCACCGGGAGCAGTTGAAGACGTGGTGATGCCTCCAGGAGCAGTAGAAGAGGAACTGCCCTGAGTGAATGTGGTCACTGGGGAGCTGGTGCCCACAGCAGTGGTTGAAAAGGTGCTGGACTCTGCAGTGTCCCCAAGTGTGGTGGTGGAAGGTCCCGTGGTTGATGATGTGCTTTCTTCACCAGCCGCAGTTGAAGAAGTGGAGATGCCTTCAGGAGCGGTAGGGGTGAAACTGCCCAGAGTGAACGTGGTCACCAGTGAGCTGGTGCCCGCAGCAGCAGTTGAAAAGGTGCTGGAACCCGCAGTTGCCCAAGGTGTGGTGGTGGCAGTCCCCGTGGTTGACAACATGCTTTCTTCACTGGGGTCAGTTGAAGACGTGGTCATCCCTACAGGAGCAGTAGAAGAGGAACTGCCCTGAGTGTACCTTGTCGCCGGGGAGCTGGTGCCTGCAGCAGCGGTTGAAAAGGTGCTGGACTCCGCAGTGGCCCCAGCTGTGGTGGTGGCAGGCCCTGTGGTTGATGATGTGCTTTCTTCACTGGGAGCAGTTGAAGACGTGGTGATGCCTCCAGGAGCGGTAGAAGAGGAACTGCCCTGAGTGAACATGGTCACCGGTGAGCTGGTGCCCACAGCAGCAGTTGAAAAGGTGCTGGACCCAGGTGTGGTGGTGGCAGGACCTGTGGTTGATGATGTGCTTTCTTCACCGGGAGCAGTTGAAGATGTGGTGATGCCTTCAGGAGCGGTAGAAGAGGAACTGCCCTGAGTGAACATGGTCACTGGTGAGCTGGTGCCCGTAGCAGCAGTTGAAAAGGTGCTGGAACCTGCAGTGGCCCCAGGTGTGGTCGTGACTGGCCCCAAGGTTGATGACGTGCTTTCTTCAACAGGAGCAGTTGAAGACGTGGTGATGCCTCCAGGAGTGGTAAAAGAGGAACTTCCCTGAGTCCACGTGGTCACCAGTGAGCTGGTGCCCGCAGCAGCAGTTGAAAAGTTGCTGGACTCTGCAGTGGCCCCAGGTGTGGTGGTGGCAGGCCCCGTGGTTGATGATGTGCTTTCTTCACCGGGAGTAGTTGAAGACGTGGTGATGCCTCCAGGAGCAGTAGAAGAGGAACTGCCCAGAGTGAAAGTGGTCACCTGATGAGCTGGTGCCCACAGCAGCGGTTGAAAAGGTGCTGGACTCGGCAGTGGCCCCAGCCTGTGGCTGGTGGTAGGAACCCATGTGGTTGATGATGTGCTTTCTTCACCGGGAGCAGTTGAAGACAGTGGTGATGCCTCCAGGAGCCGTAGAAGAGGAACTGCCCTGAGTGGAACCGTGGTCACATGTGAGCTGGTGCCCGTAGCAGCAGGTTGAAAAGGTGCTGGAACTGCAGTGGCCCCAGGTGTGGTCGGTGGCAGGACCCGAGGTTGATGACTGTGCTTTCCTCACCAGGAGCAGTTGAAAGATGTGGTGATGCTCAGGAGCGGTAGAAGAGGAACTGCCCTGAGTGAACATGGTCACCATGTGAGCTGGTGCCCGTAGCAGCAGTTGAAAAGGTGCTGGAACTCCGCAGTGGCCCCAGGTGTGGTCGTGCTAGGCTCCAAGTGTTGATGGACAGTAGCTTTCTTCACGAGGAGCAGTTGAAAGACGTGGTGATGCCTCCAGGAGCGGTAGAAAGAGGAACTGCCCTGAGTCGAACGTGGTACACCAGTGAGCTGGTGCCCGCAGCAGCAGTTGAAAAGTTGCTGGAACTCTGCAGTGGCCCCAGGTGTAGGTCGGTGGCAGGCCCCAAGTGGTTGATGATGTGCTTTCTTCACCGGAGTAGTTGAAGACGTTGGTGATGTCTCCAGGAGCAGGTAGAAGAGGAACTGCCCTAGAGTGAACATGTGGTCACGTGTGAGCTGGTGCCGCAGCAGCATGTTGAAAAGGTGCTGGACTCCGGAGTGGCCCCAGTGTGTGGCTGGTGGAAGGTCCCGTGGTTGATGATGTGCTTTCTTCACAGGCCAGCAGTTGATGACAGTGGTAGATGCCTTCAGGAGCAGTAGGGAAGGAACTGCCCAGAGTGAACGTGGTCACCAGTGAGCTGGTGCCTGCAGCAGCAGTTGAAAAGGTACTGGAACCTGCAGTTGCCCCAGGTGTGGTGGTGGCAGGCCCCGTGGTTGATGACGTGCTTTCTTCACTGGGGTCAGTTGAAGACGTGGTCATCCCTACAGGAGTGGTAGAAGAGGAACTGCCCTGAGTGTACCTTGTCACCAGGGAGCTGGTGCCCACAGCAGCAGTTGAAAAGGTGCTGGACTCCGCAGTGGCCCCAGCTGTGGTGGTGGCAGGCCCCGTGGTTGATGATGTGCTTTCTTCACCAGGAGCAGTTGAAGACGTGGTGATGCCTCCAGGAGCGGTAGAAGAGGAACTGCCCTGAGTGAATGTGGTCACTGGTGAGCTGGTGCCCACAGCAGCAGTTGAAAAGGTGCTGGAACCTGCAGTGGCCCCAGGTGTAGTCGTGGCAGGCCCCAAGGTTGATGACGTGCTTTCTTCACCGGGAGCAGTTGAAGACTTGGTGATGTCTCCAGGAGCGGTAGAAGAGGAACTGCCCTGAGTGAACATGGTCACCGGTGAGCTTGTGCCCGCAGCAGCAGTTGAAAAGGTGCTGGACTCCGGAGTGGCCCCAGGTGTGCTGGTGGCAGGCCCCGTGGTTGATGATGTGCTTTCTTCACCGGGAGCCGTTGAAGACATGGTGATGCCTCCAGGAGCAGTAGAAGAGGAACTGCCCTGAGTTAACGTGGTCACCAGTGAGCTGGTGCCTGCAGCAGCAGTTGAAAAGGTACTGGAACCTGCAGTTGCCCCAGGTGTGGTGGTGGCAGGCCCCGTGGTTGATGACGTGCTTTCTTCACTGGGGTCAGTTGAAGACGTGGTCATCCCTACAGGAGTGGTAGAAGAGGAACTGCCCTGAGTGTACCTTGTCACCAGGGAGCTGGTGCCCACAGCAGCAGTTGAAAAGGTGCTGGACTCCGCAGTGGCCCCAGCTGTGGTGGTGGCAGGCCCCGTGGTTAATGATGTGCTTTCTTCACCGGGAGCAGTTGAAGACGTGGTGATGCCTCCAGGAGCAGTAGAAGAGGAACTGCCCTGAGTGAATGTGGTCACTGGTGAGCTGGTGCCCACAGCAGCAGTTGAAAAGGTGCTGGAACCTGCAGTGGCCCCAGGTGTAGTCGTGGCAGGCCCCAAGGTTGATGACGTGCTTTCTTCACCGGGAAGCAGTTGAAGACTTGGTGATGTCTCCAGGAGCGGTAGAAGAGGAACTGCCCTGAGTGAACATGGTCACCGGTGAGCTTGTGCCCACAGCAGCAGTTGAAAAGGTGCTGGACTCTGCAGTGGCCCCAGGTGTGCTGGTGGCAGGCCCCGTGGTTGATGATGTGCTTTCTTCACCGGGAGCCGTTGAAGACATGGTGATGCCTCCAGGAGCAGTAGAACAGGAACTGCCCTGAGTTAACGTGGTCACCGGTGAGCTGGTGCCCACAGCAGCAGTTGAAAAGGTGCTGGAACCTGCAGTGGCCCCAGGTGTGGTCATGGCAGGCCCCGAGGTTGATGACGTGCTTTCTTCACCTGGGGTCAGTTGAAGACTGTGGTGCATGCCCTACAGGAGCTGGTAGAAGAGGAACTGCCCTGAGTGTAACCTTGTCACCAGGGGAGCTGGTGCCCACAGCAGCAGTTGAAAAGGTGCTGGACTCGCAGTGGCCCCAG